TTGAGTGATCACGGACTATTTGTCCCCCATAAGTTTCATATGCATGATTAGTGATCTACTACATTTTAGGTTATATTAGCTTATATCCTGATATATGCCGCTGAATTCTTACCTTGAACAGAGCGATGAAGAGACTCTTGTAACTGCAATGATTCACGACCTGAGTCAGGACATTCCATTAATTCGTCATTGTCCTTTTCGTCTACATAAGGAACATGTGATGCAGTCGTGCCTTGGCTCGGCATTCCTCTATTGTCAGACCAATGAGAAGCTTGGCTTCCATGATTTGTAATATGTTGTCTTCCTTGAGTTTGGCTAACAGGATTCTCTTGATTTCTCTGGCATCGTGTGCAATTACCGCACTGACACTACGGCCATGAATAAGAGATGTTAAGAACAAAACTCGATAGATTTGCATCACTAAAACAGTTAAAACGCTCATAATTAATGATTACTAAATACATCTATGCAACGTAACAATGTGATCAATCTTAAAAAATCGAACGTCCCTATTTTTAATTTGTAAAAATCGTTTGTGTTAGATATGCTTAATACTCCAGTTTCGCATTCTCTTTTGTGCAAGCGTAGCTTCAACCAAGCAAAAATCTTTCTTGTCTTCTTTGTACACAGAGTGTTTGTATTACAATAGATTCTCTGCTGATATTACATGCTTTCGAGGTTAAGACTGCACAAATAAGATTTCGAAATTGGAGTATTAAATCGTCTTCAAGTGCTCTTTTAATGATCAATTGACTAATATTCTGTTGCAAGAGTGTACATCATAACGGTCAAACAATTTTAAAACCAACTCCCCATGCGCCAAAAAAACATCATTCACTAAATCATAGAAACAAACAAGAACGAAATACTATAACTATTCTATAACACAATTCCTATATAACTGTACTGGAAAACTCTAGTAATCTTTCAGTGACGATCAGGGGCATCAGAAGTGTATTCCAGTTAAGTAAGGTTCACACGTACGTCATAAAGATAGAATTGAAGAGCCTTTTTCAAGTCGTTATCCTTATGTTCGTCAAGGGGCAGACGATTTGCTCCTAAGGACAAGAGAAAAGCAATATACTTATTAAAGTTAAACTAAAGGGTTCTTTTTTATTGAGAGAAACTTAGAGAAGTAAAAAGTACCATTCAAGGAAAAAACAATCGGTATTTCATCAAGGAATAAGACTCAATCAAAAGCAAAATGAATTATACTAACCTTCGCGCAAGGACACCTTCATTTTTTCACCTCTCTTTGGCTTCAACTCAGCGTTCTTGTTAGGATCTTCGTGAAACGGCTTGTCCTGCTGCTCACCAAAATACCTTCCTCTTGC